ACGGGCATTGGGTGACGGGCATTGGGTGACGGGCATTGGGTGACGGGCATTGGGTGACGGGTGAAGGACGTGGTGTGAGGGCGAGCGGTCGAGGGAGAGGAGTGAAGGGCTAGTGCGAAGGGCGAGGGGTGGAGAGCGATGAACGAGAGACGGCTGCCTTCCGCTACCGCGTTCCCTTATTGTGTTGTAAATTTCATAGATCAAATTCTCAACTCCACCCGACTCGCTACGTGCGGGATAGGGATCCTTATCATACACAAAATCCCGAAAGTTCATAGGAAACGTCTGTCGATATGCCCAATTTTTCGGTGACAGTGACAAGTGGACGCAGAGAGTACTCAGGTGGAGTTTCGAGCCCCCATTTGTTGATGGTGTTGGTTTTCTTTCAGCCAGCGTAAACCCTCAATTAAGCCGTCGGAGAAATATATCTCCCTTATGAACTTGAGAAGGCATTCGGTCCAGCACACTGAGTACCATATCACTGCTACCAACCTGGGAAGTCCGTAAGGTTGGTGTTAGCGAAGCGGCCTCACCCACGTACGGGGCATAAACATTTGTTCAAGCAGATAATTGCGGCCTGGTCTCCAGATGTCAGCCTGATGGTGCGATCTTGATGGAATGAAAGTAAAGAGATATTTACAGTTCCATCCTGGTGTCTGAGAAGCTCCTGGCACTTCCAAAACAATAAAGTAGGCAGTAGGCATACATACTTCTAGAAAAGAAGACCCGTGGCCTAGTGGTCAGACTGATACCCATCCACCACCCCCACTGAATAATGGAATTCAAATTCAGGTCGATTAACGTGGATTCAGTGTCACTCCCACCAAGACGCCTGTCTTGTGTGATATTATGTTGTCAAAAATGTCAGTAAAAAACATTGTCACTACAAACTTTTGTATAAACTAATAACGTACACGTGCTAGAATTATTAAAATTATTATTAATTATTATATTACAATTATTATTATTATTATTATTATTATTATTATTTAATAATTTGCCCTTTATGTACACAAATGCAAATATCGACTGCAGTATATTTTTTTAAAAGATAAGCTTAAAACAAAACGTCTAAAAATTGTAATTTTGTAGATTATGGAATTCAAAAGAAAAGGCGTGTCCCATAGGAACATGAAAATCTTCAAGGGTCTAAAACACAATATTTGCGTTGTGCATGATAGTGTTGTGCTTATGCGAGTTGCGGGTTGCATCTGCCATATCTATATTATTTTAATAAATTTGTAGGGTTCACATATATTTTAGTATTTATATATTTTAGTTTTATTTATAATTTATAATTTTATTTTTTATATATTTTAGTATTTAGTATTATTCTTCGTATAAACTTTAACCTTGCCAAATATCACACTCCTACATACCTGTAATATGCTTAAAAAGGAGTATAAAGTTTTATCTTCACATATTTATAACTCTCCGCGCTACCTTTTCGACACACTTTCAACGCCAGCAGAGTCACAATAACTTGCAGAGTGCAAAAGACCTGGCTGGTAGCTTAGGAATTTGCAAATCAAGGAGTCGGGACCTTCAATGTCTGGCGTCAGCTACAGCCATAGAGTATGCGGTGGGCTTGTAGGAGGTACGTGAACAACTTCCATTGGAAGTCTGAATACTAAATTAACCACTCAAATATAAAATCAAGAGTACTCAGAAATTTTAATTTTCAATAAATTGATAGTCTGTTTATAATTGAGCATTTTAGTGGTCTTATTTTCTATTATAATTCATACATTCAACTTGAAGCTGACACCTAGTATTTTGAAAGAATAACTGCAAATAGAAAATGCTACGGTGTTCTCGCGTTACCAACAATACCAAATCCTTAGTTTACTTTTTTGTGATGACCATCGTAATGTAATTATTTACTTAATGAATTAAACATTAAGTTATTATTTAAAACATTTTTCATTTCAATTAAAAACCTTGCAATAATTTATAGAATAAAAACATTATTTTAAAGAATTTTTTTCTTCTCCACCCGGCCTCGCGGCCATGAGTTTAAGGGGTTCGTGTCGTTAGCAGGAAGATATCCCCAAGTCAAATTCCGGTCTTCTCAACCTGAGAAATGAATTCCCAAACAGCAACCTATACTGAGACATTACAAGGAAAATTCACACTAAAATCGTGTCCGACAGGGAATCGAACTCAGAGTCGCATCATTGATAGTGATCCGCTGACCAATGAACTGAACTGCGAGGGCTTTGTAGATTCGACGAAATATTTATTGTCCGGAGTCCAATTGAAGGGACTTGTACAAACTTAACAGTAATATGAAAGGTGTTTCTATCTTCAGGGAATATTAAACTAGAAATGTAATTATCTAAAGCACTCTTCGAACCATCTTCTTCTGACGCAAAAACTGACAGTTACATTCTGGAAAGAAACAAGTAAATGTTTTCGCTTCGTGGTAACTATCAAGAAATTAAAGCACATAACTGCCAACTTTTTCTTGTAACAGCAATCAGGTGAGTGCTCCAAACTCAGGAAGTGAATGCAATGAGGCAACGTTCTACTAAAGAACAAATGTCAGGGGCAGTCCAATTCCTGATTTTTTTATGTTTTCTCTAGAAAGACAAAACCTTTCTAACTACTTAAAAACTTAAGTGTGGCATTTCACAAAAAAGTATTTTATTTTCTGGTAAGAAAACCTTGGACTCCTAGGAATATGAAGAATGTTCTTGACACTCCGAAAAGAGGTGTTTACACAATCCGTAGTTTTTTGGTACATTTGTTCGGCCGTAAATTTAACAAAGTAACCGGTTTCACTGTTACGGCTTTCGCATTAAGGAGAATAATCTACTGATGACGCCATAGTAATTTATGTAATGGCCGTAAAATATAAGTTGCGCCCACCGCCACTCATACCCTCGGCGGCGCCACGTCCCCGCCGAGCCAGGAGGCCGAGCCGAATCGGCAGCAGGGGCCGTGCTGGAGGAGTGGCGTGTGGTCCCCCACCCTCACCCCATCCTTCGCCTTCGAAGGCTGCTGGATGGTGGGCGGGTTGGGCCGCCGCCTCAGATTTGGACGTGCGCTTGCGAACTGTAGACTGTTTCGTTATGATAGTGAATGACCCTTGCGGCTCGAACTGTTGATTTCTCCTGATATTCTGTTACGACCCCCGCTACGAATATTTCGAGCTCGTTACATCTCGTGGTATTATTGTTGAACCTGGCAGACCTGGCTCGATTTGGGATTTTTGTTGAAATAAACGTATTTTCTGTAAAAACCGAGTTTATTGCCCTTTTCCCGTCACATCAATTTAATGATATTTTGATATTGATGTCCAAAGGAATAAATGCAGAAGACCATGACGGAACTCTTAAACCGCAAACAGCACGTAGCACGTACACCATAGTTATGGGTTTTCAAAAATTAATTTTCTTTCATTTATGTCTCAGCTATAGGTATTATGAATTTGAACGGAATATTTTAATGAGCTCTATATATTAAACCCATAGGAAAGAAAACCTCTCGAAATCTACCTCATTTTCTTCAAATTACTCGCTCAAATAGATGAAATTCCTCTTATATTTTAAAAGAACCCTTTATATTTAGTGCACAAGAATCATAAAATAACACATCAAAATTGTGAGCAATTTCTTGTTTTAACTACGGTTTCCTCTATTTCAAAAACGTTCTGCATTGTCACCTTGAGAGTTAGAAGCGAAACTTCAAAGATACAGGGAGTTTTTTATTAGGTGAACAAAATATTTAAAACATTTAAGTATGCATTGAAAATATCTCAGTCACATGTGTCTACATCTTTAGTGGAATTTTTTCTCCTTGCGTTTCTAAATTTGTTTTGAAAACCTCTTGTGATGTTGCTACTTATAATACTGGAGTTTGTGTTCATTTACGAAACGACTTCTACAGGAGCTACGTTGTTTCAATGCCTTCTCTCATGCTTTAAATTATGTCACATTTAGGCAGTTGTCTCTGTGTATTTTTTGCACTGCATTGATCCTGGTTGTCAGCAGTCGACACTGGAATAACACATCAATGTATACTATTACCACTCGAATTCTCCTACACGAAGTTTCTCTACTGTATATTGTAACGTGCCTCGTGGCATCTATTTGGGGACGCTGGCAGAGGATTAGCCTTGCCACAGGAAGAAGGGTTTTT